AAGTTCCAAAAAATTTAGGAAATTTCAACGAATTTCAAGAAAATTTCAACGCATTTCATGAAAATTCCAACGGGTTTCAAGGCAATTCCAATTCATTTCAAGGAAATTCCAACGAAGTTTATGGAAATTCCGATAAATTTCAAAGAAATTCCTACGAATTTCAAGAAAAATCCTACAACTTTCAAGGAATGCCAAAAATTTCAAAAAAATTCCAAGGAATTTCAAGAAAATTCCAATGAATTTCAAGGTAATTGCAATGAATTCAATGAAATTCTAACGTATTCAACCCAATTCACACAATTTCAAGGAAATGGCAACAATTTCAAGGACATTTCATGAATTTCATGAAAATTCATACGAATTTCAACAAAACTTCATTGAATTTCAAGGAAATTTCTCAAAATTTATAGAAAATAACTAAGAATTTCAACAAAATTCAATCGAATTTTATGGTGGTTCCATAAATTCTTAAAAAAATTTCAACGAACCTCAAGGAAATTCTTAAGAATTTTAAGGAAATGTCATGGATTTTCAAGCAATTTCCAACGAATTATAAGAAAATTCAAACAATTTCAAAGGAAATTCTTTCGAAATTCAAGGAAATTCCAATGAATTTCAAGGATATTCCTATCCATTTCAAGGACATTCTTACGAATTTCTAGTGAGCCAATTTAAAATCGTTAGTTTCGTATTGATTGTTGGTACTATTCTTTCACTCCACCGAAAAATCTCATAAAAAACTGTCAATATTTGCTGAAAGAGATTTTTTTTTTGCTGAGTATACAACCAACAATCAATTCGAAACTAACGATTTTAAATTGGCTCACTACTTGACTAGCCTATTGGTCCCAAGCAAATCGATTAACGTATTCCATTCTAGTCGAAATTCTAGAACTACACAATGTTTGTTTTGATTCGCTATGAAAGTTTGACAGATAAAATGAGGGGTTAGTGGATTTTCCTATGTTTCGAGGGGTGAATCGATTAGCTTGAGACCAAAGAGAGTACCAGAGCTGAGCCAAAAAGTTGAGCAAGTTATTTCGGGATCTAACCCAATGGGTACGTTAATCGATTTGCTTGGGACCAATAGGCTAGTCAAGTAGTGAGCCAATTTAAAATCGTTAGTTTCGAATTGATTGTTGGTTATACTAAAGAGTATAGACAGATTGAATCCCGCTCAAATTCCTATTCCTACACAAAAACGAAGACAACAAATAAAGAAGACTAGCAACCCTTCCATTTTCTCATACGCACGCTATAAGACAGGTACAATCGCGTCATCTACCGCTCAAAGGTAAATGCTTCGAACAAATTTGATAGCAAAGATTACATCCTCAGAAGAAAAGTTTTTATATTTGTTAATTTTTCTATGCGTCGCCACCTTCACTCAACCGCAGCGCTATTGTACCTGTCACTTGGATTCTGGCAAAGTTGCCAGTCTTCTTGACATGATGTCTTCGACAAAACACAAACTCCAGTTAACAAATAACATTTTTTTATATAAGACCACGTAGTCCTACGTCACCATTGCGTACAACCCAATAGGGCTGTCCCTTGTAGTTTTTTTTTATTATTTTCTTAGGAATTTGCTTGAATTATATCATAATACCGTCAGTTAGATTTTAAGCAAACCCCACTCGTATCAATATGTTAACGCAAAGGGGAATTATTGACAATAATATTGGAGATGTGAATACAGAAATATTGTCAATATCGATGCATTGACGTCAATTTAGAATGACAATACGATTATTATCAATAAAAGCAATCGTGTAGGGTCCACTTGAGACCTCTTTCTAGTGTTTTCTTAGAACTTGCTCTATAATGAGCCTGAAAATCGTTTGCAGAACTCTTCAACGCACTTCAAATTATTTTTTTTTTGCAGAATTACATAGGAATTCCCAGGAGATTTTTCCGAAAAATTCACTTGGAGTTTACTTTCAGCATTCACTTTGTATTCTCCACAAATTCCCATTGAATGATTCAAAAAATTCCTTTTTAGTTTTGCTCAGGACTGCGATACATAGATGCCCCTCACAATTTTGCAACTCTTATTTGAATTCTCCAAAAATTACCACCGGAACATGACTGCAAGTCCCGTGAAATGTTCCTTGCAATTCCGTTGGAATAATCCTTGGAAATAAATTCCCACGGAACCCTAGGAATTACTTTGAAATACTTCTCAGTATCCTTTGGAATTATTCTCAGAATTTTCAATGAATTCATCTCCGAATGCTTTTTGAATTTTACTCCTTCCCTTGGAATTCTACTCACTTTGAATTTTCCATAAGAATTCGCATGTAGTGAAATAATAAATGTGATAGATTTATCATTAAAACCTATTTGGCATTCAAGTCAGAACCCAAGTAACCAAAACTCCTGATAAAGGGTTATTTGTGGCTTAAGCAGCTTGGTTGAAGGTGGTCTATAGAATTCTAAGCAGCCTCATTTTTAAGTCGTTATAAGAACTTGAAAGTTCCGGTACCATAATTGAAGATTATTCTAAGCAGCTTCTGGCAGAACTTGAACGGAACTTTTAGGAAACAAATTAAAAAAAAATTTTGTCCTCTACACCAATTTTATATTTAGTTTGCACTTTTGTGAAAGTTAATTCTAAAGTCAGGTATGAAGTGTATTGATTTATCAGTATTAGTAGTAGAGAATTGGAGCTGTTTGAAGAATTCAACCCAGTTCTTACGCGTGAGAGCCCCAGCACGAACCGCTACATCATCTGAGATATATTAAAGTGAGCTGTAGTCCCGTCTTGTTGGAGTTTTCAGTGCCAGCTGACTGACTTGAATACGACACACAACACCTTAATGAATTTTAAATTGGTGTTTGCCAGCAGGGTATTCCAACACACTTGTAGCGCAGTTATTAGCGTTCGTAGATTGCATGCCAAACACACGGGTTCGAATCCAGGAAATTGTTCTTTATTTTTTATGTTTGGATGGAATCTTGATGGACTGCATAAATGTAAGAAATATGATTTATTTGATGACCCACTGATCATTTCATATTTACGTACATTAATTTTTGTTCCTAAAAAAGACTTAAGCGGATTGCTTCATGTGGCCTATGACGGACCTTTTTAGAAACTTTCAAGTTACTAAGAAGTTCCGCAGGGAACTTTTAAAATACTTCAAAGTTGCTAAGAAGTTCCACTGGGAACTTTGTTGTGGCCATGTTTTCAGCTTTGCTTGAAGTTACTAAGAAGTACTTAGGGATACTTTTTGGGGCTTCTTTTGAACTTCAAGAGCCTGAAGTTCCTCGTGTGCTTTCTATAGCTTCTAAATTAGCCAGAAAGTGGTGTTGGAACTTTATATACACTTTATGGAACTTGAAAGTGGGTTTTATCGTTGAATGTGGAACTTTTGATGGCTTGGGAAGAAAGTACTGTCGGAACTTTATTTGAACTTTATGGAACTTGAAAGATCTGTCGGAACTTTAATTGGACTTTATGGAACTTGAAAGTTCTGTCAGAGTTCCTTTGAAGTTTTCCTGGAATTATTTTCAGATTTATTTGTTAATACTCCTTTTAGTATACTTCCGAAGTATTCTCAAAAAATTCCCATGCAAATATGCTCTAGATTCTTTTTCTCCCTGAAACTTCTTGAAATTATCCCCAGAAATCCTTTGGAATTCTGCTTTCAATTTACTTGGAGTCCTCTTCAGAATTCCTTAGGAGTTAACTTCAGAAATTCGTATGAATTTGCATTCAAATTTCTTTCGAATATTATTCAGGGTGCTATGATTTTTGCCCAACAAAAGTACTCAGTGTGCGACAGTTTGATTGCGAGAGCCGGTGAGTGTGAAACAAAGTATGCTTCTCTATCTTGATAATAAACGGAAAACAATCTTTAATCACTGCCTTACCGTTTATCTTTCATAATTCAAGCATTCTGCTTTCCATTTACGACGACAGGATAATGTGACCATGTAATGGTCAACGAAGCACAATTGCACTATTTGCTTTGAAACTCGTACAACAGTTGCCCTTTCATCGCGTTCCAAAACATACCTACAATGAAACCGGCGGTGATATTTCTCCATCTTCTCATCCATGTGAATGTGACACATAGTTACTTCAACCATCGATTGATTCTTGATTTCACTACTCGAGAACGCATAAATGCAGTGATTTCATTCCAGTGCGATCCTTCGATGTCGATGTCCTGGCTAAAGGACCTGAACGCCAATTTGTCGGGTTCCTTCCACAGTTTCGACGTTGCTTCATCTAAATTCTATTCCGATCATCACCGATTCATGACCACAGGACACCACCGCTTTGGTTTGGTAGTGGACTGGAGTTGTCCAGAGGTCGTTGGTCTGCTGCAATTTTGCTCCCACCAATCGTACTTCAACGAATCTTACCGGTGGTTGTTGCTGGTTAGCGATGAGAAAGATGGGACTTTTACTTTCTTGGAGAGTCTGAACTTGAACATCGATACACATCTTACATTGGTGGTACCCGAACGGGATTCAGACGCACGCAGTTACGGGATTTATGAAGTATATGGTACAATTCGTAGACGAGGAGGAAAGAATCATGTGGTTAAGGTTGGTGAAGTAGATTCGGTTATGGAGGTCCATTGGACCGGTAGCAGTACCAATACTTATCAACAGCGGAAATGTTTGGATGGAGTGTATCTTCGAGCTGTTGTTGCGGTAAAATGTGTTATAATCTTATAATAATAATATCAATTCTAGTAATTCTTATGACAGGCACCTTCACGTAAGAAACATGTTCTGTGCCAACATCTGTTGAATTTAAATCCACCAAGAGCATACTCCTTCGATCGTATAGGCTATCAAATAGGCGTGTTGCTGAGTCAGCATCTCAACTTCAGGTATACGAATCCTTTGATCGGTAAAGCAACCACTACAGTAACGGTCTACATTTTTACAATAGGATCCAACTCATTATAGCAGATGAATGGCACTTTGACTTGCTGGGAACTAACTCTTCGAAGGGAATCTTTGGTCAACTGCAAAGAAAGATGGTGGATTTCTCCGTTGCGCCGCTATCGCTGGCGAAAGAGCGTTTGGTTGCTTATGATGTTACAGTACCGCTTGGCACAGCAAATTTTGTGACAATTTTCCGGCATCCGAAAAACAGCAATACCCGAAACATTTTCCTACTTCCATTTCAGAATGTCGTTTGGATAGCACTGCTAGTGATTTTGGCTCTCGCGTCTGTAGTTTTACTAGTGGCCTTTCGCGTTGAGCGTCGATCGGATGCCATCTGCAACTGCCAGTTTCTACTGGCCATTCTCGGATTCCTCTGTCAGCAGGCATACTCTGGACGGACATCTGCCATCTCGTCTCGAATCACTATCAAAGCGGTTATTGTGTTCTCCGTCATCATCTACCAATTCTACTCGACTTTCATCATCGGCTACCTATTGGTTTTACCACCGAAGAGTATCCGCACTACGAAACAGTTGCTAGGAAGCGATCTCAAGTACTCGATCGAAGATCTTACGTACAACCATGACTTCTTCAATGTATTTAGCTTTTACTATCCATGTGGGTTTGACTTATAGTCCAATGCACTTTTAGAGAACCAAAGATGCCACTGCGCTGGAGCTGTACAGTCGTAAGATCCTCCCGAATAAGTATGGCTTCACAAACATCAGCACTGGGCTTGGTTATGTTCGACAAGGCGGTCATGCCTTCCATTGTGATTCCTCCTATGCATATACGATGATTTTAGGTTGGAAAGTCAATTCAAATGTCACCCACATTTTTTACAGTTGCAGCTTTTCAGAATCCTTCGACGAGCACCAGATCTGTGAGCTTCAGGAAATATCGCTCTATCCGTCTCGTCCGCTGTATGTTCCGGTACCGAAGGGAAGCCCGTTGAAGGAGATCTTCCGAGTTTCACTCAGACGGATGCTGGAAACAAGTGTAGCCGGGTACTTCAAGAGGATTTTTTTCCCAAGCAAGCCCCAATGCATGAAAAAGGATTTTGCATTTGTACAGGTGAGCTTTGGGGATATCGCTAGCTTGTATTGGCTACTGGCAGTTGGAGCGATTTTCGGGATAGCGGTTTTACTAGTGGAAGTGGTTGAGTTTCGAATCCGGAGGTACCTGGAGATGAGGCATTTCCTGCGGCAGTATCCCGTTTGGTTGGATTGACTTGCTTGCACTGAGTGAGGTATAAAAAATAACTTACAATGACAATTTTACACCTTTACACACACAGTTTGAGCCACTCCTTTCGTATGCTTATCAATCATGAGTGTAGCCGTATTGAGAGAAGCTACACTATCATCACAGACAAACAGCCATAACACTTACAAGTTGTTCATCGAAATTTAAATGTTTCTTAGTTGGTAGTAGGTACCGCCACCTGTGGCGCACATAGTCAATTCCCTTGCGTTTGACGTCTACACACTACCGCCATCTGTTGAGCGTACTGCCCATCACAGTGTACTCAACAGATGCTGATATTGTTTTACCGACGATGTTTTACAGTTAGAAATATTCGATGAGTTATTTCCGTTTATCCGTGGTATCATGCTAGGTTTGAAAGCACTTCACAATTAGCACTGTTCAGTCACAAAAAGCAGTAGCAGTTTAAATTTACAAGTCACGTGTTAACTGTTGTATTAAATGAAAAAATAAGACACTTAGGAATTTGAATAAAAAATTGCTGATGTTTATACGGAATAATTTTCGATATTTACTGCTTAGCTTGACTTTCCGATATTACGTCCAATATACTTTTTACGATCAATATTTCCTGATATACCTAGTTCGAGAAAATGTATTCAGTGTTGGCAAAATCATCAATCAAATGATGTTTTTCCGTGTTCAAATGCTTTCAGTATCACGTGTGATATTGGATTAAAATATCATACATGATATTGATTTTACAAGCTCCTTTAATATTGTGTCCTATTCACAACATGTAAAAATGAAGTTGAGAGTTGACTCGGCACAAAAATGATTCCATTGCACATCGTTTTCTTAGAAAGAGAAAGTTTAGTGCGCTATCTCTCTTTACTCTTCACCCAATCGGTGTCCGTTCCATAAATCCCGAGGACATTATCTGCCTCGTTTATTATTTTTTACCGTAAGCATAGGGTATTTTTGTTGAAATCAAGTTGACGTTTGCTCTAGTGTCAAACAAAAAAGGAAATCTACCTAGGGTAAACGCTCCTATAGTTGCGGTACGTTAGAAGCGTTAGGTTCCTATAGTTGTGTATTGAGTCTCCATGCACAACTATAGGAACCTAACGCTTCTAACGTACCGGCACCATAGGAACGTTTCCCCTATGGTTGTTTGAAAATTCATTTACGGCAGAGTTGGTTTTACCTAAGAGGAAGAGGAGACAATACGGGGGCGAAAACGAACCACTTTTCTGTCATACGCGAACCAGCTCGTGATTGGCCGATTTGAAGTGCGTAAGGTAGAGATAAAGATAGATATAGATAGAGATAGAGATAGAGATAAAAGAGTAAGAAGCCAGTTGTCTCCTCTTCCTTTTAGGGTTTTACCAACTCGCTTTCCACTTTAAAAAATTAGCAGTATTTTCAGTATTGGAATTTGGTACATTACTATCCGAGCTCGTTTGACCCGAAGTTGATGGCTCTGGATCTATTTCTTGGTGAACCGATGTTTCTAATTGTTCTTGATAATCGGAAGTGCTGCCAGCCAGATTATTATGATTACTATGATTACTATGATTTCTATTATCAAGATGAAGAGTATTATGATGCCAGCACTGTGCTGGCATCATAATACTCTTCATCTTGATAATAGAAATCATAGTAATCATAGTAATCATAATAATCTGGCTCTTATTGTACTGGGTGAGCAAAACGTTTGAAATTTTGAAATTGTTGCGACGGTGGATGTGGTCGCTTGAGATTTAATTGTGACCAATCACCGTAATTAATATTTCCTGACCGGATGCTGGGATCAACACTTATGCCAGGATGATTCTTGGCATCATAAAGAAATAATTTTCTTTATTCCCTTAAAGGCAATTACATTTCACTTTTTACACTGAATCTGAATAACTCCTGTTCTCACCTAGAACCTAACATAAACTACCCTCGCTCCTGCCTCTGCAACTGGTTTTGTTTTTCGTTCCTGCTGTCTCAGCAAAACTCCTCTGGGTGGCAACCGATCGTCAATTGCTAAGTTGACAATTGCTGGTCATCGAATTCTTCGGTTTCCAAAGTGCATTGTCGAGTAAGCATTGGCCTGTTTCCATCCATGTGGTGTGATCTGCTGATTCCTATCGCCAGGTCCATAACTCAACATCCATCGGTTCTGGCTTGGGTTGATTTGTTTGGCCATATTGAGTAGGTCGATGTTGGTTGGCTGGCCTAAATGGCTGATTGGACCCTTGTGCTTGCCTTATTGGATGCTGGTGGCTGTGAGCCTAGGACCATAGGAGGCCTTGCGACATGTTTGTTGTCTCATTCCTCAGTGCACCAGATCGAATGTCCATATTGTGATAATCAAGGCAAAACTGGTACGCACTGCTAAGCGTTTTGCTTAGGGCTTTTTCTCTAAAATAATCAATGTACACCGAGCCTCGTCCTCTTGCGCTTTTAACTTGTGCAAGTGCTGTTATGATTTCAGATGCTTGTCGATTGAATTTTTCCTTAAATTGTCCACGTTGCAGCATGTACAAAATAGTTGTCCAACATATGCGTGTAAAACTCCCTTCGGGTATTGTTTAACACGGTCTCCGCACGATATGTTCACTGCTTTTTCATGATTCGGCAGAACACGTCTTAACGCAATCATTCAAGGCAAAGAAGCGCAATCTGAACCATTTAGGCTCTGAACCATTTGGTGGATTATTTTAACTTTTGGTTAAAATTTGACAGATGAAAAGTTATCGATTAACCCTGCTATCCGAGCATGGTTACTTCTGATAGACAAGAAGTTAAATTTTGACAACCTTGGCTAAGTTCTGCTCGAAAACCAGTCGATCGGCAGCACAGGGATTTTCGAACTTACAGAATAACTTTCGAAATGTCACTTTTAACCACGAGTTAAATTTAACTCGGCAAATGGTTCACAGCCTAACATCGAGCGAGCAAGATTAGTGCTGAACGGAACTTCCCACTAAATTGGAGAAGAGCAAGCAAGAGGCAAACAGATTAGGGAAAAAACCATGATAGAGAAAGATGATTAAACGTCGAAAAGGTCGAATGATACTACAAACGTCAAACCATGTCGAAAGAAGGAAAACCCTTGCGTATTGCATTCAAGTCACATTAAAACAAAACGAAATATTTCATGGTCGAGAACACTTAGCACTGTATCATTAAAAAAAAACACTTTTATTCAGAATTAAAATTATATACTTGCTACTTCAGTAACGTCCGAAAGGTAAAAGAGAGCTTCCATGCTTCCATTTATTAACGTCCTTTTAAACAAACCACCTTGAAGAAATGGATATAGTTCATTCAGGATGGTCAAATCGTAACCAGCACCTAGCCGATTAGCATTCCCAGGTAGCGATAATCACGGGCTACTTAGAGTTGGCTAAAACCTATCTATTTGCTCTGTCATCATCATCACTGACACTAGCGACTTATGAACAATAGTGCATTAGTGACGACGATGATCCCCCGTTCTTGTTCGCATTACTGACGGCAAATATTACCGTCAGCAACCCCGTCGGGCATCGCGTGGAGGTAAGAATCGGAGTTCAGGTGCACAGAGGTCGCAAATCGACTGAAAAAGTGAAAAAGTGTCGTTCGCGGCACTTGGTTTCTTCGGGGTTTTGTCTTCAACTTCCTCGAGATCCTCTTTCCTGGGTTTCTGTTTACGTTTCCTCAGTTTAGATATTCTCTTGGCTACTCTGTCAATTGACCGTCTAAGATAGAGAAGGATGAGCATTATTAATATGATTGTTGTTACTGATAATCCTCCAAAAAGACTCCAAATTCGTATTTCGTTGTTGAACTGTCTTAGAGACACATGATGAAGTAGCTCCCTGTTGCTTAACGTGCGGTTGTCTATCAGCGTAATGTTCAAGTCGTTCTGTAGCCAGCTGTTGATTGGGATGTTATATATTTAGAGCTGTCTGGATGAAGTAAGATGTAGATGAAAATGTGACGTTTCGAGTCGCGTTCGGATGTTAAGCAAAAATCATAAAACTCAAACTCACCACGCTTTGGTTAGAATTGGACCTGGTGAGTTTTGTTAGCTGGATATTCGTAGCTACGATAATATAATAAATCAAGCGTGATCTTGGGCATTGGTGAGATTTAATTTTTTTTTTATATTTTCCCAACACTGAAAATGTTAATTTTTTTTATATTTATTTGTTGACATCAGCATGCTTCAGCATTGCAAATGATGTTTCAAAAGATAACATTATCCATAAAACAAACGTCAAATTAATTAAATATATTTCATAAAATATAGAATAAAAGTGCAAAGTATTGTGCCATGAAACGGAACTAAAATCCAAACGTATGTTAATGTTTACATTGATTTTGGAGCTGTTTATACAGTAACGAGCTTAACAATAATTTTGACGTTGGATAACGTCTTTCGGCAACATACGGGGGTACAAAATTGAAAACCGTCATTTTGGATGCGTTACGAAAAATTAAAAGATTTTGAACGATAATAACTCAACCGTCTCTCGATAGATTTACGAGATAATGGCATCAATCGATTGGAAATATTTCTAGCAATTTGCTGAATGTTTCAAAACTATTGATTTCATTCTGTAAACTATTGAAAAATGGTTAAAAGTAAACCATTGTCTAAAGATGGTGAAAATCGATTGATTTTTTTATATTCTTATACTTTCTCCAACCGAGACATCAGATGCGAGTATCTGACACCTCTGATATTTTCTGTTCTACTATATAAGCGTCTAACAAGGTCACCCGTTCCATCATTGTCTATCCGATCGTCGACCCAGCAACGGCAGCAGAGCAGCGGCAGCAGAGCCTGGGGGCGAAAGGGCAACTACGCCGAGTGCCAGTGCTCCGGTATACTGGGCCGCCGTCATGGAATGCCCAGCTGCTGCAGTTCTCAGTCGGTCGTATTCACCGTCTGCTCCGCAAGGGCAACTACGCCGAGCGCGTTGGAAAAATGGCCCTTTTCAGGGCCACAACATTATCAAGAAAGAGTTTAACGTACGTATGCG